GCCCTATACACATTAGAAATACTAAGCATGTTTTAACAACTGCTTGTTTTTCATATTAACCAGCAGCTGAAATAAAACCAACTGAACTACTTTGTTTTTAACTAGATTTGCTAACGACTAAAGCTAAAAAGGTCAAAGGTTTTAAATGTATCAACCTGATGTGATGTGTATTATTTGTGCCAAATGTTTCTTCYTGGCTGATGTCTGGATAATAAACCTGTTGAAGTGATTCAGTCAAAACCTTCACAAATTGTTCCAAAACACAAACTCCATCAAACAAGTAGTTAAACAACAATTAAAACAACTTGAATCAGAAAGCTTTAATAGAAAAGCTGCATWTACACAGCAGACAACCACTCTCTGGATTAGGTGACTCAAGGTGTTTGACTTTATGTTGCAGGGATATATGGACAGAGGTGAGATGGGAAAAGGACAGTTAAAAGTTACATTAATCACCGACTTGGCATATCAAACTGGGATAATCACCTGCAAACTGCTCTGCTCAAATAGAAATGCCCTAAACCCAGGGGAAATTCTACCTAACACTTTAATTGTTTGAAGCCTTTGAAGGGTCTGTTTAATCCAAGATTAATTTATGCGATTTTAAATAACTCTACGTATGATTAATATCCTGAGATGAAATTAAACGGAGTTTGAGGCAATTATAACAAGGAAGTGGTCATCACCTCATTAGTACAGTGTCTCAGAAAACATGGTGTGTGTGAGTGAGAAGGGTGAAAAGGTAGAATAACTAGGTCTTTACAGATTTGCATGCTAATCGCTTGATCCCACTGGAAACTTGTGACACTGGAAGGTGTGTGTAAATGAAGTAGAGACCCATTTAGGCTCCCATTGAATAGATCAAAACCTTAGGAAACTTTGTTACATTTATGCTCTATAACTAATAATCCACACATCTAGTTACAAAAAAAACCCTCAATCTTCTCTTTCAGACAACAGGTAAAAGACAGATTATTTTATTTTTCCTTCCACTGTCCCTTTTAGTGACAGTCAGGCTTCACTTTTACTTCACTCAGGGTTTTGTTTTATCAAGCTTGCCTTTTACTTCTGCAGACCAGCCGAAGAAGTCACGTGGCTAAAATTAATTACTGTAAAAGCTGGAATACTTGCATGCATCTAATGAAATTTACCCACCAATCTGGGTCTACATAAAAAGGGTTTAGGGTCCATATCGAGACCATGGTTCATGATTTTACATAGTTTGATACCTATAAACCAGCAAATACAATTTTCAAAGTTAACTAAACTTAATAACGCATTTGAGGAAAACTTGGTCAGTTAATGACATAACTCTACAAAAATCTATTTCAGCGCTCACTTTCTCATCTCTACCAGTTAGTAACTGGTTAGCATATGCCAGAGAACAACATGCAACTTTGTTTCATAAACAAAACTAGGCAGTTTATTTTCAAAAACTCTACAAAAACRTCAAATTAAGGCAGATTGTTTAAAAAAAGTCCCAAAATTGTTATTTTTTTATGCCTTGTCACAACTTTTTCCAACTAGAATATTTTGTTATTAAATTACTGATATAGGTTATATATTTGATCAAAGTGTAGCATTGCAGTATGTGTACGTCCAAAAAGAGGCACTCAGTAGATTTTTT